GTGTGGGTTTTTTTTTTTTTTTTTTTTTTTAGTACCTCTTTCCTGCTTAGAGAACCTAAAAAGTGACTCTTGAAGCTTTAATGATGACATGCATTAGCCTGCATTAGTATGGAAGGGTGCCAGAGAGAATTTCATGCTGGAAGTTCTTTATGAGATGTTCTTTAAATTGTTCCAAACGTGTATGATGCTTTCATTTCAATTACTGGAAAAGTATGCATGCAAAGAACGATATTTATAATTTTTAATCTGCAGTGATTTTCTGTTAAGGAAGAAAGAAACTTGTTTTTACTAGTGTTAGGCGATGGATGTGCACAGATGTGGTAATAAATATTTTACTTAGGAAGAACTTTTCAGTGGCAGTCTTTCTATTTTCAGATAGGCAAGATTTAATGGCATTTAAAAGTTGATAAAAATAACAAAATCAAATACTGTCTTGGCAGATGACTGAGTGAGCCCTGTGCTAACTAGAGAGTCAATTACCAATGCTTTACTTTATCCTACAAATGTAAAGATTACGTTTCTTCACTGGATGTTTATGAAATTTAATTCACTACTGTATTGTATAAGGGTTAGCTGCGTCATTTTTATTTCCTTAAAATGCACTCATTCCTTCTAAAGGAATCTAGTAGTAGCACTGGATTCCTCTGACATAGAGGCATCCTCATGGTGTCCCACTCAGTGCCTACCAGCCAGATGGTTTGAGGTGATAATTCTAGTTGATTCATTTCCTTTGCATATTCATTTTTTCTTTACCAACAGCTGGACCTATACCGCACACTATTTCACAAAGGCTTATTCTGAATAATGCTACATGCTAGTGACCCTCAGTTAGGGCCAGCCAGAGCTGGATTAGCACCTGCTGATTTGGAGACAAAAGGCTTTCTACCCTTTTGTTAATCTTGCAGTGATCTCGTCCTTAATGTGTGGCCAAGGATTAAAGGGCTTCAGCTGCTCTCTAAGCTTTTTTTTTTTAAAAAAAAAATACTTGAATTCATGAGTACAGGACCTGGTGCTGGCTGCTTTGTGGGGTTTTTTTTGTGCATCAAGACCAATCCAATGGTTTAATTTCAAATGTTGCTTAGTGGATAAAAAGTCTTATGCTAAGAGAAATTAAACCCATACTGACATCTTCTAAATTGAGTTTAATGAAACCTGCCTAAAATCTGTCACTTATCCATGTCTTTTCAAGGAAACTGAATGGATTTTGATGTTTGGGGGATGGTAGAACAAATTTATTTCTTGTTTCTGTGATTTAGGTTTGTTAAATGAATGAGCAGAATCAAAACAAGGACATTGGAAACATTCCTACTCTGTAAATCATTTGTCCGTATGATTTCTTTAGGGTTTTCCAGGAGATATTGGTGTACCTGGATTAAATGGCCCTGAAGGTCCTAAGGTAAGACTATATGAAAACTTATTCGTAATAACAATAAAGGGTATAAATATCTGAGGAAAAGCTCTGAGAGATGGACACTGGCATTATGAGAAGATAATCTTACTGTCAAAATACAGGTACTTTGCCTCAGGTATTTACATGAGGAAGTTAATCTAATGTTTAAAGCTGTCCATGCAATTATGAGGGTAATTACTGTGTTAGACGGAAGCATGTAATGGGAAGTGAAGTGCAAGAAAATTTGGAGAAAATGCTATGTAGCTAGAAAGTAGCATATATTTCACCTATATTTAAATAAAATGCATGCCAAATGCATGCAGATCTTTATAGTCTCACCTGAGTAATACAGATTTTTTTTTAACAAATTTTGAAAGAAATAGTAGCTAAGATATGGAAAAATTGGTAAAATTTACATGCCAGAATATATAATGGATAAAATAATATATATTATAATAATAATGGATAAAATTTATCTACCAAAAATGACTATGCCAGATTAATTTAGCCTCTATTCTTTAGTAGACTAATATTTTAGACCAAGCTTAGGCAATAATTCACATGTATAGAGTTTTCAATGAAGCTTTGGATTCCACATGTGAGAAATTTTTGTTTAAAATGGAAAAGGTAGAGACTGGTACAAAAAGTGCAGGTGGGTAAGAAATTAACCCAGACGAAGATGATTGAATAATATCTAAAGATTGACTACTTGTTGTTGAAAGGCAAGTACCAATTAAGTTCCTCGCTCACCCCCCTTGGGACTATTCTTACATCATGTTTTCACTGATAAATAGGCACAAGTATGATGGAATGAAATTTGCATATGGAACAAAGTTGAGCATCTTTAGATGATCTTAAAAACAGCACTTTGTACTAATTCATCCCACTTCTGTTAGAACTAAAACAATAAATCCTACTGTAATCTTAGAGCTTCACACCTGGCAAGAAGCAAAGACACTGCCAGATCTCTCTGAAATAAAAGCACAATAAGGTGGTTAGAAATTAAGTGAAATTCTAGAACACATGAGGCAAGCTGTCTTGTTAATGCCACTGCAAAAAGCATGAGAAGACTTTATCTAAGTAGTACACACAATTCTAGGCATTTGTATTCCAGAAGGACTCAATCAAGTGGGACTAGATACAGAAAAGAATACTTGAATGACTGTATTCTGAGAGGCAGTTTATTTATCCTACCAAAATGAAGGGCATTTTTGAGCTGTGTAAGTAAACCAGAGGGCAGAAATTGGTGAGGCAAAAGAACTGTGCAAGACCAACAATATCATTGGTCCAAGGACAAAACATGCAAGTTGTCCATGAATAAACAGAAATGGAAGTGACAAGATTTCCCATCAACAGAGTTGTGAAATTCTGTGGCAGACTACTCAAGGAAACGCAGGAGACGGAGCAGTAAATAGTTTAAAGATACAGTCTTATTTGTACGTAGAAGATTGTAACAATCCCTCCATGCCTAAGTTAATGATTCTTGAGAATATCTCAAATAATCTAGTTGCCAAAGCCGTAGCCAATCTTTTCTGCATCTCATATCTTTCAAATGTGTCAAGAGTCTTGTCCCAAAATAGCTCAGACATGAATTTACTAGAAAGGCTGAGAACTCATTATCTGATGCGGCCAGCTGGGGAGAAGTTAATATACATTTTCAGAGACAGGTGTGGACTTTTTCTTTAGTTCTGATTTATTGCTTTGCTAACTTGTTTGTTTGTATGTATGTATGTATGATGTTAGCAGCCCTACGTGAATGAATTTTATTTGACCTTTGCAGTGGCAGTTGGTCCTGTGTTTCTGAATTACCAGGGCACTTAAAAAAAACCTTTTGATGCAAGATTTTTGTCTAGGGTCTAGGGGAGAGAAATAGAACAGTTCTTGAACTGCAGATCAGATTTAATCCTCCAAGCTGATACATGAATGATGTAACTAAGATCTAATCCCTGCTGCCCAGTTTCTTCACTAAGTGAGATCATATTATTCGACATTATATCCAAAGTGTTAAATTAGATGTTTTTGTTAGAATCAGGTTGATGTTTAATACATACATTACTGATCTGTTGCCTTTTCAGATTCCAGCGAAAAAGTACTAAAAGGTAGCCTACAAAGTTTAAGACTCTGTATTCCTTTGAAACAGAAGTTACATAGCTGAACAAGATTCAGTGGTCTCCAGCACATTTGGTCTTAGAGACAAAAAGCTTAGACAGCCTGCTCTAATCAGGGAGAATTGATGGCTTACATTTGAGAAGTAAGATTACCAAACTGGAAAAATTCTTATACTGCTCCTAGTACCAAGGGAGAAGGGCTGCATAACACTGGAAATGTTTGGCTTTTGGGATTCCCAGCTGTCTTGTGTTGACTGCAGTTTTTAAAAATTTCCTCCAGCTTGTATTTTTAGAAAACTGTTCTTGCTGTGCTGCTCTTTTGCTCATGTTTTTGTTTATGCTTCCTCAGAAGCAATACCCATTTTAAAAGCCAAGAAAGCAGGGTAAGCTTTATTTTTTTAGCAGTTGGTGTGGGAGAGATTTAGCCTCTTGGTGGAAAGTTTAAGCTTAAGAGTGTGATCAGCCACGTCTAAATACCAGTAGAAGTTCTGGATTGTCAATTTTCCCTAAATTAGCGCAGTAATCAGCAAATCTGACCTCTCTAAAATAATGTTCAAAGGATTCATTACGTAATAAGGTCTACAACACATTACTCGACTTGGAAACAATATTTTAGAAGGTGTTTGATCTTGATCCACCACTTATTGAAAAAAAAAAAAAAGCATACTAACATTTAAAAAAAGAGAATAAGAATGTTTTTAAGAAGTTCTGAAATAATTTAGTTTGTTTTCTATGATGTTCTTGCAAGTATTTATCCTCTGTAACCAAGAAAAGTGAGAGGAAAAGGTGGTCAGAATATGCTGACTACAACTGTAGTTTTTCCACCAGTGTGTGTTGTACCATGGAAGTAGTTGAGAATTTCGTTCCTCTGCTCGTTTATGGTTGTTTGGATAACACATTTAATAGAAGTGGCTATTAGGAGTTTCACCACTTCTGGAAGGGATGGTCAACTGGGAAGTTATATATGTGAAATACAGGATACCCCCATTTGCTGACTCCCCCAGTTTTTTCTAGACACTTTGGCACATGTCTAATGACTACCTTCATTTTCTGTTTGTTGCCTGAAACCTCCAAGGAGAGGTGGAAATTTCATTTAGTCTTAATATTCATTTTACAGTCTGGGACTTTTTTCTGGATCCAATTAAGTGCAGTGGAAGGATGTGTACAGTAGGGCTGTTGCTAACATTTCCACTGTGCAATTACTTTGTACTGAAAACCGTATCTCCTCACGTGCTTTGCTATTAGAATAAAACAACAGTTCTGTCAATGAAAAATTTTCATGACTAACTACACAAGAATATTAATTATGCAGTGCTACTAAAAGCCCTCCTGTCACTTTGGTGGTGGTATGTCAAACAGCAGTCCACCTCAGTCTTTCCCAGACTGATGGGCTCTTTGATGAAACTCAGTACCTTGAGGTGGTGTCGTGGTTTAACCCCAGCCAGCAACTAAGCACCACACAGCCGCTC